GCAGATTAAGAAGCTTATCTTTCATACAGCTTTTGAAAAAATACAATCTGGAGAAGTAGCATTTTTTCCTTTGTATTTGAAATTTTGAGAATTATTCTTTTTATATATAAGATTCACAAATGTTAACAGGACATAGCTAGGTATGGAGCAGTCCCCCACCTCCAACCCTCCTAGACATAGGGCCAGTCCCTTCAGCTTAACATTCAATTTTTTTTTTATCCCAAATAAGCTGTAAGCTTCTAGTGTGACAAAGAAAAAGAAAATTACCTACCAGAGAGAAAATCAGGTAAATTTCCACTGAAATAGTAAATGCTAGAACAGCACTTCTCAAATGTGTGTCTGTGGATCACTGGAGGGTCCCAAGATGCTTTCAGGCAATCTGCAAGGAAAAAACTATTTTTGACAATAATACTAAGATATTATTTGAGTCTTTCACTTTGTTTACATTTACATTGATGGTGCAAATGAAATTGCTGACATCTTAAGATGAGTAAAACTAATGACACCAAAATATGCTAGCAAACATTGTTTGTATTCGTCACCACGATATACTTGATAAAAGAACGTTTTACTTAGGAATATCCTTGAAGAAGAAGTGAAAAAAAAATTAAATCTTGACCCTTGTGTTTACATCTTTTTAATATTCTCTGTGATGAAACAAGAAGTACCTATAAAGCACATCTGTGAGATACTATGTACGATGGTTATCTCAAGGAAGAGAATTGTTACTTTGTACATTTATTCTTTTATAATTTATTCAACCTTCCTTTACTGAGCACATTTTGTTTGTGGAAATTTGTGTTAGAAGTTTAAATAAAAACCAAAGAGAATGCAATAGCTCTTCTCTGGAGCCTTTATCCCAATAGGAAGAGGAAGCAAGATAAAGTTTTACTGTTCTGTGATAGATGCCAGGGTGAAAATAATTACACAGTACAGTTGTTAGAAAGGGAGGATGAGGGTGTAACTGCAGAAGTCACGAGATGCTTAAAATGTAGGAAGCCACGTGCTCTGGAAATGGAGCTGTCAGTACGTGTAATGATAAACACCACAACAATTCAAGGACTTGTCACCTCAGGGAAGAATCTCGGGCCTCAATGGTCCAGAGGATGTTGAGATATCCCCTATAAGGTGAAAGGCATGTGACTGCACCTCTCACCACCAACCACAGAAAAAGAGGGCCAACACTTGGCAGGCCTTTTTGGATTTGGGAAGCAACACACAGCACATGTGAGTGTCCGCTTTAACCCATTTCTGGAGTCACCTGTAAATCTGCCAGTTTTGAGTGGGGACCAGAGCAAGAGGAAGCTGTACAGCAAGTTCAGGCTTCAGTGCAATCTAATTTACCACTTTGGTTTTACGATCCAGCAGGTCCAACTGTGGTACTTGAAGTTTCCATGGCAAATAAGGTGGAGACTTTGGGAAACACCAATAGGAGAATCACAGCATGGCCCTCTAGAATTTGGGGGGAATATACGTCCTTTTCTTCAAAAGTCTATTCTCCTTTTGAAAAACAGCTTCTAACTTGTCAGTTGACCTTGCTGAAGTCTGAACATCTAACTTAGGCAAAACAGGTGACCACGCAGCCTGAACTTTGATGATGAACCAAGTGTTTCTGGCCTACTCACGCACAATGTTGGTCATGCCCAGCAGAAATCTATCGTCAAGTGGAAATGGTATATAAGAGATTGGGCTCAGGGGGACCAGAAGGTACAGATACGGTGCATGAGAAAGTGCCTCAGATTCCTTTAACAAGAATTTTTCTTATAATATCTACTCTCCCTTAATCCATGCCTATAGCCTCCTGGGGAGATTCTTGCAATCAGTGAACTGAGGAAGAAAAAACTCAAGCCTACTCTTCAAGTGAATTTGCATGTTATATTGGTATCACAGAAAACTAGCACTACTGTAGCCCCTCTGAAGGATAATGATGAAGGAAAATCACCCCAAAACATCAGGTGGTTCATTTTGGTCATCCATTTTTATCTAGAGTGAGAGACAGCCAGAAGTACTGATCTAAATTCATTCGTGGGCAGTTGCTAATGGTTTTGCTGGATATTAAGAGGATCCTGCTCCTTGGAAGGAACAGGATTGGAGGACTAGTGACAAGGAAATCTAGGGAAGAGGCATCTGGATGGAACTCTAAGAATGGGCACAGACTATCGAGATAATTATGCTCCTTGTGAAAACTGACCAAGGGAAAACCACTGCAGTGGCAGCTCTTAATCATGAACCAAATGATACACTTTACGGATGTGTCAACATGTTTCTTCAGCTAACCCAGTGCTTGCTCAATGATCCCATAAACAAAGTGTCCTTGTTAGCAGGAATAGAAGTTATGCATTAGCTTAAAAGAATTGATTTCCCCTTATCAAGTTTGACTTGCCTAATGCTACTGCTGAGTGTCTAATCTGTCAAGCACAGAGACTAATGCTGAGCTCTAAATGTGGTGTCATTCCCCAGAGGGACTGCCCGAACACATGGTGACAGGTTGATTGCAATAGACATCTACTATGAAGGAGATGGCTGAAATTTCTGCTCACTGGAATTGACACATATACTTACTTATAGATTTGTGTTCCTTGCTTATAATGCTTCTGCCAGCATCATCTTCATTTACTCACAGAATGTCTAATTTCATCAAGATATTCCCCTTAGCATTTCTTCTGATGAAGGAACTAATTTTACAGCAAAGAATTACAGCAGTCGGCACAAGCCCATGGAATTACCTAGTCTTAGGACTTAGCCCATCATCCAAAAGTGGCTGGCCTGTTGAAATGTAGAATGGGTTCTTGATTCATCATGGCATCAACTGGAAGACAACTCCCTGAAAACATGGGGCTCTGTCTTACAAGAGGCAGTATATGCTTTATATCACAGACCATTATATGGTGCTGTCTCACCCACAGCCAGAAGGATTGGTCCAGGCTTCAAGGAAGTGGCCTTGGTAGTGGATCCTCTCACTATTACTACCAGCAACTCACTAGCAGGAGTTTTGCTTCCAGTCGTTACAACTTTGAGTTGTGTTGGTCTGGAGGTCTCATTCTCTAGAGGGAGGAATGCTCCTACCAAGGGGCACAGCAATGGTTCCATTGAATGGGAAGTTGAGACTGTCATGTGGCCATTTTCGGCTACGTATGTCACTGAATAGGAAAAGAGGTTACTCTACTGACTGGAGTGATTGATACCAATCACCAAGGAGGAATTGAGTTGCTGCTACATAACAGATTATGAAGACGGCTGTGTCTGGAACCCAGGGGATTTTCTGGGGGAGCCTCTTGGCACTTTCATGCCCAAAAGTAAAGGTTTATGGAAAATTACAGCATCAAATAAAAAGGTAAGATTATTGAGCAGTCAGACCCTTTGACAATGAAGATTTGGGCCACTCCACAAAGTAAATAATCCAATCCACGGAGGTTACAGCTGCTGGCAGGGGAATATAAAATGCATAATAACAGAAAGAAACTGTCTATGTCAGTTGCAGCCTCATGACCAAATATGGGATCAAGGAGTGTAGTAGCTTACTATATTCTCTTTTTCCTCTTTATATGTGTGTGTTCCTTTGTATATGTTGCCATTTTCTTCTTCTCTTTCATTATAATTATTTTATGTACAAATTGTTGGAGATTCCCTTACAATTTAGTCCGTATATAACAACATATTCAGTCGAATTTCTTCTGAATTTTAGAAGTGATTAATATAGCCAGAAATCCATAGTGACTATTGGGACTATAATATTTTTAGAAGTCTCCTCATTTGGGAGAAAGGATGAGAACTTCTTCATTTGCTCAAAGGACAGTTGTAACTTGTTAGATAGAAACATAGTCATTGCATTGCTGTTTGGAAGTTCAAATGTGTGTGAAGGGGTGCATATGAAAGACCAAGAACCAGGAGGATGGGAGGTGCCACTTACCAGTTCATTGCCTTTCAACTCCAAGTCCCCCCTTCATTGTCCTATTTGTCATTCTGGACCTGGACCTTGTAAACAGTTCTCCTTTGCTGGCTGGCATGATATTAAGCTTTGTCAGTAGAGGGAACAGGAAGGACACTGCAGAAGGAAGAGGCTGCTCTTCCTGGTTCTGGCCTGTTTTCCTCACTTCTTGCTCCTGCAGTGCTTGGCCAGCCTGTGGGACATCAGTGACACTCCCCTCCAGCAAAGTTCAGTGACAGCCCGACATGTGGTTTCTTGAAGCAAGTTCAGCAGCACTCCTTTGCCAGCTTTCTGTACATTTTCTTGGAACTCTGGTGGGTGTTTTCCTGCTTGGCAGTCTTTTTCTCTGACACCTCAGCAAATTCCTCCACCATCCAGCAGGCTATAGCCACACACTGCCCAATGAGGTCTGAATCAGAGATTCAGCAGGAGAATCTCTGCTGCTGGAGAGTGGGGTGTGCATTACAATGAGTTACTTACTTTGGAATTCCGGCTTAACCCTAGAGATAAGGGCTTCTCTCTAAATATGCTATTCCTATGTTCTTTAGAGTTCTTTTTACTCACTAGTAATTAATTATCTATTATTAGTTAAAAATTATTTATATTTAACTTCCCTTGTTCAAATTTCTGTGATTTTTCTCCTGATTGGGCACTGATTGAGATAGTAGGAGTCCATAAAGTGCACGAGAGGAAAGGCATTAGATGCAGAAAGATCAGCAATCACATATCATGGAACAGCACAGTACTTGTAAGGAACTGTGCTTAGGTGTATGGTAGTGAACACATGTCGGGTGGATGGGGTGGCAGAGGAATTTGAGAGGTGAGACTATACCACCTAAACCTGGAAAGGCCCAGGTTCTTTTCTGGGCCAAAAAAGAACGTTTTTTAGGCTGTTCTTTATAGTTTTTGCTTCCAAAGTATTTTCTCCACGAACTACTAGACAGAATACACTTACTATTTTTGAAACTAATTAGGCAGAGTAGATAATGAGAATTTTCTGGGGTAAATTTTTGAGGGTAATCTATAGCTAGCTCACAACTGATGATATTGTATCTAAGAGGTAAACTCAACGTCAGTCTCTAGAGAAAGAATGCCCCACTGCGGCATGTAGAGAACTGACAAAGAAATATTTTCTGTAACTCCTAAAGGGTTTGTGCTCTGCTTCCCTTGTAAAACCAGTCACTGTGGCACTCAGAACGCAGTAATACATGGCTGAGTCTTCCTCTTGAGCTGATGGTTTCTTCAGATGGAAGGACCCCTCACCCTTGTTAAGGTTGGCCAGGAGTAACTGGAGGCCTTGTTTGGGGTACTGGACGTACCAGAAGAGCACAGGACTCCCAGAATACGAGTAGCTGCACTTCACCTGCGCTGGGGTCCCTTCAACGACAGAGATGCGGTCCTCAGGCTGAGTCACTGTCTGGGCTCGTGCTCCTCCTGTAACACCAAGTCTGGATCAGGTGAGTCTTGCAGACTGAGGAGAATATTTCTTTAAACTGATTCTAAATCAGAAGACCATAGAAAGGTAAAATAAAAAGAGATTTTACTCACTAAGTGTGAATATCATCACAAGCACTGAAATGAGTATGGGCTTCATGCTTGAGCTGTGAGGGGACAGGAGGCTCTTTTCTGGAAACAAATCAGTCACGTGGACACTCTGACAGAGCGGTGAGTGAGTTTAACGAGCATGTAAGAAAAGGTCTTCCTTAAACAGCTGGCTGCTTTCTGACTTTCTACCAAGTTCAATTTGTGTAGCACCTTCTTCTAGAGGCCGAATCTGATACTGCAGATAATCTCAGTCATCAGGAAGCCTTGAAATTCTCAAACAGAATGGGGATGGATTTCCTCCACAGTTAATAAGACAAAGTGTAATGTTTTACTAATTGAAAAAGTGTGTTAGTAGAAAGGTCCAGATAGAGAAATCAATGGAACAGAATGGAAAATCCAGACATCAACAAGATGCCCCAGAGGAAAGCCGGTTCTGGTGAAGGACAAGCAAAGGAGGAGCCCAACAGGAGAACTGTAAGAATCCTGTCCCTGGAAAATGTGACCAAAGCAGATTAAAGAGCCATAAAAGGCGTAATGAAAGAACAAATCTGTCACAGAAACTGCGAAAACAAGAAAATGAAAAGGGGAACAAAACGAAAACTAGAAGTGGCACCCCAAGATCTAGAAACTAAGGAATCAGCAGCAGAGAAAGAAAGAAAACTGAGAACAAATGAGTCTTTGGTGAAACAAGAGAGGAAAAAGCCAAGTCTGAACATCTTTGAACATAGAGTCTCTACCACATTTTTGTTTGACGCATAGAATTATTTTTATAAGCTATTTTTAAATATGTAGTTTAATAGCTCTAGAGCACATTTATAATAAGATGGGAATCCTTCCTCATCCCATTTTTAAAAATTAGATCTAGGTAATTGTAAAGTTTTTGAAGAAGTGAAATCATTCACCTCATAATTTCTGCCGCTAGAAGTTATGTAATGATGAATTAAGGGAGGCCTAACTTCTGTGTGTGTAAACATTTTATAATATTTTAAGGGGCAAGTTTTTATTTATTTATTTATTTATTTTTCTTCTTCTCCCCAAAGCCCCCCAGTACATAGCTGTGTATTTTTAGCTGTGGGTCCTTCTAGCCGTGGCATGTGGGACGCTGCCTCCTCATGGCTTCATGAGCTGTGTCACGTCTGCACCCAGGATCCAAACCAGAGAAACCCCAGGGCCACTGAAGCGGAGCGCATGAAGTCAACCACTCAGCCGTGGGGCCGAATGGGGCAAGTTTTTTAATCTTATATGAATCAAATAAAAAATAACAGCTGGGAGTATGTATATAAAATGTATTTAAAATATCTTAAATATGTTGGTATTTTTGTACAATTGTTTGAGAGGAAATAAAAATGTTCCCAGGTCTTGTTACATTCATCCCTGTTAGAATGAATGTCATCTCTGATGTTGGGAACTTTGGAAGCAGAGGTCTACTTTCCTGTGAAGTTTGTTAACGTGCTTTGAATGGCTGGAAATTTTTGTACAGTGTGTAATTTTATTACATCATGAATTAGTGTGACTTCTAAAAATAAAATGTCTAAGAGTTTTTCAGCAGTTTAATCTATTGTATTTGATATGTTTTTATGGGTTAGCTGCCTCAGATTTTTAAATTGGAAATTGCTGAAATAATAGTTTCAGAAAACGATTACAATTGGGTGGCTTTTAGATTTTCAACAGTGCGTTAAGAATTACGTTCAATTTGTTCATTGGGTTTATGTAATGCTTACAAGATTAGAAATCTACGTATCATTGTGTTTAATTTACTTTAAAATACATCAGTATCACACAGTGGGATACTATATATGTGTTAGAAGTTAAGCTTTAAATCTAGGCTGAGAATCCATACTGCACTAATTAAGAATCTACACTGTACAGGTTGTCCTAGTTGAGAATATATGTGGCACAACTTGTCAGCTAACATTATAACCAAGTACTTTAGTTTTTCACATATCGATCAATATCTGAGGCAGTGCTAATTATCATAATGAATACTAGAAGTGATATTTTTGTAAAAATGCTCTTGCCTTTTTCACTTCAGAACTCTGACACTTTATGATGTAGTTTCTTCAGTGGGGGAGTGGGGGTGGGGAGTTGGGGGTGTGGTCCCTCCTAGAGAAATTGATCAGAAGACCTCCTTCTGGTACAGAGTCTATCTGAATGCGGCACAGCATTGATGTTGAAGCAACTATTCAGGAGACAAGCACTTACAGGACTCAGCCCACCCTGCCCTATTAGCCTTCACAGAAAAAGAGACCTTCTGGAAAACTCCCCAGGTTGAGTTCTTGAGTCACAGAAAGTCCCAGCGTCTCAGGAGGTTTGTGTTCATCTCCCCCTGCAGTCCCAGACACTGTGTGTCACCAGAGCACAGAAGTACTCAGCTGAGTCGCTCCAATGGGCTGAGGGTTGCCTCAGGTGGAAGCTGGTTTCACTCTTCTTAAATTCAGCTTCAAAACCTTTGATGCCTTTAACCACAGTGGCCCCTGAAAAGTACTCGAGGAGAAGCTGGAGGCCTTGGTTGGGATATTGCACGCACCAGAAGAGACTCTCTGAAATAGCAGATGAGTATTTGCACCTCAGCTCCAGAGCAGCTCCCTCAGAGACAGTGATGTGGACGTCAGGCTGGGTCACTGACTGGGCTCTGGTCCCACCTGAAACATCAATGCTGTATAACTAAAAGCAGGGCAGATTGAGCTATGACGAAAAGAAGTTTCTATTTAGATTTCAGTCAGAACTTGCTTACATTTGTGAAAGGAGGAAAGGGAATGGAATGTTAGTTACTCAGGGCAAAAACCGTCTCCAGCACTGGGATGAGCAGCAGGAGCATGGCTGAGCAGTGGGAAAGCTACAGGCTCCGGAGCAGGAGCAGGTAGGACAGCAGCTGAGGTCACAGAGCCTTTGGAGTTGGAAGTGGGGAGGTTGGTCTGGAGGAGTCTTGCTTTCAGAAGTTTCAAAACCTGTTAAAAGACTCTTTCTCTTAGTTTTTTCAGATCTTTTCCAGCCTCTTAGTCTCATCACAGCTTCCTATCTGCACAGACATCAGTTAGGATACATCAACCAGCTGCATCAAGGAGGGGCTAAGTGGATGGGGATAATTTGCAGCAAAAACAAAGGTCCCATTTGTGCAACATCGCCCTCTGGAGGCCAGAGGCAAGACCAAAGATGCAAGAGAGCTTCTCATTTCAGATATGTGATAATCACAACTTCAACAGAATGTGTATCTTCCTTCCTGATCTGTGATGATGTCACCTTCTGTACTACATGGTATTGATCCTAAAACGAATGAGAAATGGGAGTCATGTAGAAATAGAAGAGTAGTTTACTTCACGGAGAAATTAGCCACAGAAGACTATTTTAGACTTTGGAATACCATTAAGCGATTCTATGTTATTTTTAAAGCCATTAGTCAAGCAGAAATAATAAGATCAATTGCCACAACTGAGCTCAGCTTTGTATGGCCTTATACTGCTGGGCATGAGCATCAGAGCAGGGGAAAGAAATTATTTTTTTATTTGGTGCTAAAAGAAAAAAAAATAGACCACAGACTCTTACTTAAAATCAACCTGAAATACATGTCATTTATTATTTAATCAATGCAGACTAGTAAAGGCAATAATTTTCTTTGTCAAGCAGAAAGTAAGAAGAAGATTCCTTGATCCAGGTGAATAAATTTGACATTGTTAAGGCTATGAGGAAATAATTTAGGCACCACGTGTTTAAGTGGAGAAAGCGAGAGTTCTGTTCGAGTTGTCAATGGTCAGAATAGACTGATATGGTATGCCAAATTATTGGGACCTCATACAAAGAAGATCATTGGCAGAGAAACATATGCAGAGAAATCTGAGCAGGATTATAAGGGTAAAGAAAATATGACAAATAAATAAGTGATTCTAGAAATAATTAAGGAGAGAAAAAGAAAAGTAAAACAATATGAACTCAATAAAGCTAGAAGGAGTGCAACTGGTAGACCTGAGGTGAGAGGAACCAGAAGTGAGAGGGGATAGAAGATGTGGGAGTAGAATGATAGTGATGCTTGTCATAGCTAAGCAAGCAGCAGTCCCCTGTGGGTGGGAGACGAGCTGATCAACAAGGGAAGTCACTCTATGGTCCAATAGTAAGACGAAGTTCTGGAGGGAGAAGACTGCCCCATCCAATTTATTTCAACATAGACACCACTGGAACCTAAAACTGAAATAACTAACTAAGGAGAGAAATCTTGGCGGAAATGAGAATCTGGCCAACAGGGGTCCTTTTCACAATGCAAGAACAACTCACTCCTTTCTGAGTCCTCTGTCAACTCGTGCCAGCTTGAAATCAGTTTTCCCTTGGGCTTTGATTTATTTCTTGACTCTGCCTATAGATCTTCTTTTATATGTAAGAGTAAATCATGTAGTCAGTTTGAAATTTTAAATATTGCCAAGGTGTGCTTCTGATTCAAAATATCTGACTAGGGATATGTTTTCTCCACCTTTCTCTCCAAAATTCCCACTGAAATGAAAGGTAGAAGTATAAACAGGATTACTCTAAATCCGTAATGGGAAAATAATAAAAAGATGAAAGATATCAACAATTCCAATAAGATAGAAAGTAGATGTGATCACATTGATGGTGAGATCGAGATAGGAAAAGCACAGCCCAGGATGACCTATGAGAAGATTTCAGTGGCCATGCCAGTGAAGGAAACCTACTGCTTAGGACCTGGAGAGGCTCTGCTCTGAGAAGGAGAGTGCCTATGATGGAGGGCAGGAGGGACAGAACACAGGGGGGCAAACCGAAGGTCAATATGTGGAATAGCTACACTAGTCTCCCTCTGTACTCTCCATCCTGCTACTGTACTTATGTGTGAGAAACATAGTGGGCCAGCCTTTACACAGGTATTTAACCTTCACTAAAGCTGAAATGACACACCTGGAATGCTAAGTTTTTAGTGTGAGTAGTTGACAGACTTAAGACATTAAGTGTAGGGGAAGTGGAGGGACCACTTCTCTGCTCACTCATCCTAGTAAGAAGCCTACCAATTAACGAGGCATGCCCACCTGCCCAGACTACTAGCCAACCTCCCTACCCAGGAAGAAACCTTGTGGGGAAGATGGGCACAATGCTATAAGGAGTCCATCCTGCTACTCAGCCCTTCAATCTTAAACATAAACCAAGAACAAAGTAACATTAGTCATTTATAAGTACAAATGGCATCTCTTTCCACCTGTCTTTCCATACATTGAAGCCAAGAGTCATCAAATGTCAATCATCAAAGTTGTTTATACCTGAATGGTAAAGCGGTGGCAGAATGTCATGCTCTATGGTCTAGTAATATGGGAATGTAGTATTTTGAGAATGACCAAAGGAACTAAAAGAATAATATACTGTTTCCCTGATCACTATGCTCAAAAAATCTTGTCTTGGCTTTATCTTTATTTAGATTTTTCCTCTCAACAGGTGCTTTAACCTACATTATTCCAATACTTTCATATTGGTAAGATCTACTTTATAAACCTCATTAAATGGAGCAAGAAATTAAAACTTTGAATACAATAATTATAATGTCTCTCATTTATTGAATGCTGTCATGTCATGAGAGTTCCGTGTTAACAGTAGACAACTGTTGGTGCCCAGCCTAGATTCCCTGTTCCAGTTCAATGTACCCAGTGCCCAGCTGCTGCGAGCATTGGCTCCTCTTGGCTCATGATTGCCCCCTTCCCCAGAAAATTGATCTCTGCCAGTACAAGTCACCCTGGTCCAGTAGGGTGGGTATACCCTTACTTACCCTAAAGAAAGACCACAGCCAATGAGTACCTTACGCTGGGGTGCAAAAGATCAGCTGTCTGCCTCCCTTGATTCAAGGTGGGAGGGATCAATTCTGTGATGCCATTTATGCTCCAGAATTCCCCATGAGATCAGGCTGAATCAAGACTCCTGTTAAACCACAACTACTCTTAGCCTTTTCCCTCCTGTCTTGACCTGCTTTCCTCAATAATTTATGGGCACAAGAAACCCCAATCAAGGCTCTGCTTTTAAAGAAATCAACCTAAGACAATATGCTATCTCATTTAATCCTGAAACCAATCCTGAAATATGTGTAATAGATAGCCCAAGATCAAATGGCCCATTAGCGACATAAAAGGTATTCAAACGGTTGCTACAAATGAGGTTCTTTCCAGTGTGCCAAGACACCAGAATGCACATAGTAAAAGTCGAACTAGAATTCAGGTATTTTGTTTCCTGCACAATTTTCTGTTCTTTACCACTGTCTTACAAATCTTTTTTCCATGATTTGAAAACATTTGTGTAATCTTCAATCTGCAGATTGAGAATTTAAGGCAAATCCCAATTGAGTAGCATCCTTCTAGTCAGTGACTATGTGAACAAAACTTGAACAGAAATCTTAATTTCCCATTTCCAAATTTTCCCATCCTTTAGCCTACATAAACAATGCCATGTCTAACAGATCACACCTTCAGCTTTACAATAAAGGTGACTTTTAAATTTTTTCCTGTAATTCATTTTTTTTCCTGTATTGTAATGTCTATTACAAGGCCTTGTTTCTGTCAGGCCACAGACATTTTTCCTGGATTTGGGTATAAGTTGCAGGGTAATTCCATAGTGCCAAGGTGTGAGGGAAGAAGGGCATTCATATGTCTTTAGAGTTTCCAGCTTTCCTCACCAACATTTTTAAAGACTTCCTCAATACCATCTGGTCTTCGATAATTGATACATTTAGGTCTTTATCCAGCATAGCAAGACTCCTTGGTGTCTGGAATTCTGTTACATACTTGCTTCAAGATCCTTCTCAAGAAACCTGAGGTCATTCTGTGGCTCCTGTGCCCTGTCTAAAGATAAGGGGCATTCTATGGCTAAGGCTAATGCTCTTAATTTCTATTTGCATCTAGACAGCAAACAGAATTTCTCTGCCTTGCAGTCTAATCTCTATATCAGGCATTTCTGGGGCCCCAGGAGGTTTGGGTACAGACTGCAGGTGCTGGGGGAGCACTGTGTGCTCACTGCACAGAGGTAGGTGGCTGAGTCGCTGGGCTGGGAATCTCTGATGAGCAGAGAGACATATTGGCCGGCTTTATTCAGATGCGCTGTAAATCTTCCTTTATCCTCGTCACCACTGGAGTATATGTACATCAGCAACTCAGGGCCTTTCCCAGAATACTGTCTGTACCACACGAAGTACTGGGAAGTGCTGTCACTATAAGTGCAGTTGAGAGAGGCAACATCTCCCTCTGGAACACACAGAGATCCAGGACTCTGCTCCACTCCCTTCTGTTGGCTCCTCACACCTGTGCAAAAAGACAATGGTCAGTTAAAGAATATTGATTGGGTAGTGGAAGATTTCCAGAATTTAAATGATCTTTTCACAGCCCTCATACCCCTACCTTCCCTTAGTTCGAGGGAAAAAAATTTCACATTTCTACCTGCAGGCCCACAATAGACAATAACTCCAAATACTGTACTCGATGTTTCTATAGAGATGCCAAAACTCACAGGTTAACTGAAGCCACAGGGACACTATTAAAACTCTAGAGCATTTCATCATTCTTTCCTCCCGTGGTTCACTGAGAATTCAAATTTCAAACCCTAAAAAAGTGAGTCTAGCTCAGACATTTCTAATTCTTCTGCTTTAGGAATCAAAAAAAGAATCAATTCTACCAATTAAAAAAAAGACTTCACTACTCTTGCTACACCACCAATCCCCTCCTCTCATCTCTCTCTCTCTTTCTCTCTCTCTCTCTCTCTCTCACACACACACACACACACACACAAAGACTTGAGAGCTTTCCTCAGAGTCCCTGAGAAGACACTGCCATCTTGTGGACTCATGACAGTGATCAAAGACATATTCAAAATGTAGACCCTTATTATGTGAACTGATGAAAGTAAAAATTTGCCACTCAAATTAAAAATTTGAGAAGCATGCGGTCCAAGTCAAGGTGTGTGGGGAAAGGGATATGAGTATGTGCATGTGTTTTATATCAAATGGCAATTCTTGTCTGAGCAAAAG